ATAAATATGTTTAAAGTATACGTCAGTTATTTTATAAATTTATTTTCTCCTTGAGTAGAAACATATTTTTAAAAATAGTGAGAGAAGATCTTCATCCTGAAACCTACAGCGTCCCTTTTCAGCATGAAGTAGCTAAGAGAATATGCCATCCATTTTTCCTTATGAATCAGCGTGAAGTCTCTTTTAGGGAGGAGTGATAGGGAATGGCAAAGGACACACTGACAAAGGAGATTAATCAGAACTGGCTTTGACAAGTACTGTGGCAATTGGACAATTAAAACAGACTTTCAAGGGGGGAAAAAAGGAGGGACGAACTGGGGCGGAGGGTAGAGAAAATAGTGCAACAATGAATGAATGGAAACCCCAAATCTCTGGAAATGTTCATTAAAATTAATAAAATTTAATTAAAAAAATTTAAAAAATACACTTTCATTCTTCTTTTCTGGTTTCTGTGGCCTCTTCGACGATGCATGAATGTGTCTTTCCAGTTTAATGGTCACGATTTTCCCTAGGTTGAGCATTTGCTCCCACACAAGAGGAGGGTGGTTGTGGACTCTTCCTGCCCATGGGCTTTTTCTGTGGGGCTTGGTCATTCTTATTCTGTGTCAGAGACAGGACAGGTCCACAGCTGACTCCCTATCCTAGGACTATTGCTCCATCCTGGGCCAGCCAATGTGGCTGGTACACTGAGGCTCATCTGGAGGTGGCAGATGCTTTCATAGCACCCACCTGTGTTGAGTGCCATGCTGGGCAAGGAGTTAGCCAGATCCACCTAGAAGCTTCTCCCCAGCTTGTAGACTAACCTGGTCAGGTACTGTGTTCATGGAAGCTGTGCTGGAACCCTCCCTTCTCTACCACCACTAGTGGCAGCAGAGGGAACCACTCAGACCACTGTCACACTGAGGAGTCCGAGGACAGATGAGAGCTAGTGGAGTCATAGGGAGAGGCTGAGAAATTGAGAACGAAGAAGAAGAAAACGCCACATGACACTTTTAGAAAGAATAGACGGAAATGGAGTCCCAGAGAACAGTGCTTTCAGGAAATAAGTAGGTATAACTCAACAAAAAGGCAAATACTGACAGAACAAGCTTCAAAGGTAACAAAAAGGGCCTTTAGGAGTTTTTTAAATTTTATTTTATTAATTTTAATTAACGTTTACAAAGATTTTGTATTTCCATTCATTCATTGCTGCATTTTTCTTCCTGGCCACCCCTCCCCCTCAGTTCACTCTTCTCTTTGAAAAGTAAAAGAAAAAATCTTTCATTGGTATGCAATCACCCTCCCCCATCCCCAAGTACACTCCACTATGCAGCCTTCATTCTGGACTCTTGTCATGACCACAATATCCAATCATATATCGTTTTTAAACTGTTCTATCCCTAATCTGTTTCAATAATTTATCCAATTTTTCTCAGTATCACCCCAACCCTGATGTCAGTCCCATTCTACAACATTGGCACTATGCAGCATTTGTCCTTTTGTGACTGAGATAGTTCACACAGCATAATGTCCTCGAGAGTCACCCATTTTGAATAACATTGCATGAGTTCCTTGTTTTTCAATGCAGCATAGTATTCCATTATGTGAATATATCACAACTTCTCTATCCACTCGTTTTTGGTGGGCAGTTAGGTTGTTTCCAGCTCTTCACTATTGGGAACAAAGCCACAATAAACATGGGTGTGCATATATCTGCCTGGGTGACAGTTATGGTTTCTTTCAGATATATTTCCAGTAGTAGAATTGCTGGGTTAAATGGTATTTCTATTTGCAACTTTTTGAGAAAGCACCATACAGCCTTCCATAGTGGTTGCACCAT